CCTACAAAAAGCGACTATATTTAACCCAGGGCTTTGCACCCAGCTACGGCAAAGTGGCATTTGGATATTGCAGTTTGGGTGCATGATACCAGGCAGTTTGGGTTGATTTTCTGCTAATGGTGCATAATGTGTTTTCAGTTTTGTCCCTTTCATTCAGCATTTGTGAGGAACTTTGACACAGAATAGAGCCTTGTTTTGGAGCAGATGATTTATTCTCTGTTTGTTTTACTTATTTCCTCAAGCCAGACCTTCCCGAACAGGGTGATGCGGGTGGCTGTGGAGCTGGGCAGAGCGGCCACCTCCTGTTCATGGGGCACGAGGGCGTTCACAGGAGCTCTCACATGCGTGTCCTGGTTCTCCTCTATTTTTTTTCTATATTGTTTGGACCAAAGTTTGGCCTTTTGGTGTGTGCATGCAGGACTGTGTTAGAGGACCAAAGGGCCTTTCTTAGCAGGAACATCTAAAGGGTTTGCTAACCTGCGAGCTTGTCTGGACACAGCAGAGAGCCGGGTGTTGTGGCTGCGCAGGCAGAATTGCTTCTCTGCTGCATTTGCAGCACTAGATATTGCTAAAGCATTAAAATACACGGCCCTGGTGCGTGGGAGAGTGCTGTGCATGTGGAAGCTGAGCTACTAGGCCTGGACTTTTTTAATTACCGGTTTTAAGAGTGTGTTTGGTTACTGGAGCAGCCGCGCAGCTCCTGGGGGCCGCGGCAGTTTGGAGCGCTGCTCTTTGCCTTTCGCTGCGCAGTGAGCACGTCTCAGCAACCCAGGTCTGCAGTTTGTTTTGAGCATCTGTTTAAAGGAGGGGCTTTAATCAGCGCTGCCCCTCCGAGGGCCGTGTTGTGCTCCGATATCTGCGGTTGAAACGGGGAGAACTCTGTAAAGAGGCAGTAAAGGTCGGACTCCACTGGGAATTCCATGGGCAGAGCTCTGCCCTTGCTGCAGGAGGAAGGGGGAGGCTCAGGAAGGCTGCACAGCTCTGCTGAAGGACGAGCTGGAAGTGCTGGTGCACCCGGAGCAGGAACAGCATCCCTCATCGGTCGCTCCTCTTCGAGTTTGAAACCAAGTAGAAACTCCAGAGTTTGACCGGTTCCAAGAGATGCTTCTATTTTATAGCATCTAAAAAATACAGAGTCCCTTGTTCAAACCTTTCCAGAGAGGGTGAGCCCAGTTTTCCTTGCGCTTCCAGGAGTGCTTCCACGGCAGACCTGGGAATTCAGCGCATCGAGGCCCTTCGGCCGCTGCAGTCACAGTGGCTGTTGGAGTCAGGCTGTATGGGAGAGGGCAAGAATTGGGATGTTAGTTCTGGAGGAGCCCTTGGCCGTGTGTTTCCTGGTGAAACGAGAGGTTCCGGATCTTGCTCGGGATGGCCGGCGCTTCCCGGCGCGGCGCCGCGGGACGGGGCTCGTTCAGCCGCTCCGCGGGGCCCGTCCTCACCGAGGAGCTCCCGCTGTCGGGGACAGAACCAGAAGATGCTTCCTCAGTCAGAATCTTCCGCTGTTTTGTGATCTTTATAACTTTAGAGGCATTCCGCTGCCAGCCAGTGATTAATATTGAATCTGAGCAATATTTTGTATTTGCAGCAGGGCAAATGCCAAAGAAAGTTTCTGATTAATAGTCTCCGATTAGACTGTTCTGTCAAATTGACTAATGTGATGCAATGGCGAGGCCTGGCTGATCGCATCGGAAGTCTTGTGCGGCTCTCCTGGAGATGCTCATTACGGGAGATTCCCACATAATGTTGGACAGGCCATAAAGCGAATTGGGCTTGTCAGTCTTTTATCATGACAGTTACTTAAAAATTAATGCACGGGTTTGGAAGCGCCGAGGCCTGCTTGTTGGGGCATTTGCTGACAACACGGCGGTAATGGCAGGTAAATGTGCAAGGTGGGCTCTGCAGAATGAGCGCAGGCGTGGGCAGCTCCGCGCCCCGTTTAATGTAACGGAACAGGCTAATGCACGAAAATCAGATACGGCCGATAACGCACTCATCCGTACGGGGAGCCCTGTCATTCTGCTGCGGCCGGAGGTCGTTTTAAGGCATTATCCAAAACGACAATTTTAAATTGAACGAAGCCTGCGAGGAGCGGGGAAGGGAGGCCGTAACTTTGGAGCCCACATGTTATTATTTGCTCTGTGCTTGTCGCGCCGTGACCCGCAATAAGGGAGAGCGGGAGCAGCCGGGGCTGGAGGCCGCCCCGGGCAGCCGTGTGCCCCTACCAGGGAAACGGGAGAGGGCCATGAAAAGTAGCGGATTCCCTCAATGTGGAGGTCTGTGGAGTTATTTGATGCAGTTTATTAAAAATGTGGTAACGGTGGCAGAGCCCTGAGCTGTTTGGGAAGCGGTTGGTCCCATTTCTTGGATGCTGGGTTTGTTTTGGCAAGCAGAGCTGCAGTATCTGTATTTTATCTGTGTATCTGAACATTCGCCTCTCAGATGTGACCCCAGTTTCACAGGATCCGTTTCACATTGTATCGAGTTTCGAACAGCTCTGAGCAGAAGTTGCCAGGATTTGGTAGTGGGAGATGGGGGCGTCTCCGCCGGAGGGGAGCCCGGAGCAGCCGCGTCCGCGCGAGGGGCCGGGGACCCTCCCGGAGACCGAAACTGAGCATTACAGGGAAATGAAACATTTGCCATCTTGTGAAAAGGCCTTTAATTAGGAGAAGGCTACGCTGACGTGGGGAAAGCAGGAAAAATTGACAGCGGATGGGCAGGCAAGGGAAGCGGGGAAAAAGAGCGGATAGAGCTCTTGGATGTTTTAATAAATGATGTATCTGATGAGTATTTGATGTAGTTGAGAGTGCCAGGGTGTCTTGCATTCTCCGAGCCACATCTGAAGCTTATTTAGGGTTTTTAAAAAAAGAGAGTGTTTTTGAGATAAGGAATTTATTAATTATTTCTGCTAACTGCTGTCCAAAATGCAGTGGTAAAGTGCTCTTGATAAAACACAGACTTCTGAAGCTATGGAAATCCCGCAGCTCCAGACGTGGCTGCACGTTGGGATGGTGTTCTGGAGTTGGGGATCCTCTCCATGCTTTGGGGAGGCATTGGGAACTCGAGCCGATGCTGGGCGGCTTGCTGTGAGGCTACGACGCGTGTCCGTGCCGTCCCGCTCCGCACCGGAGCCGTCCGCGCCGCGCTGCGCCCGGGCGATGGCCCAAGGATGTGCGGATGGGGGGGAGGCGAAACGACTGTCCTCAGATTTCAAAAATAAAACGGGTACCGTCGGTAACGCTCATCTGTCACCTGCTCTGATATTACTGTGTTTTTGGTTCTAGATAAGAACACGCTGTTGAAACCACGACCCGTTTCCAGGTTATTGAGGGAATCCTCCGGCGAGCTAGTTGTGCCCAAGCCCTTCCTCTGCCTGCAGCGTGGCCGCGCCGACGCTCCCTCCTCGCGCTGACTCCTCCTCTCTCTGCTTTTTTGCAGTGGGAACTCCGTACTATATGTCCCCAGAAAGAATACACGAAAACGGCTATAACTTTAAATCCGATATCTGGTCTCTGGGCTGTTTATTGTATGAGGTAAGGATCTTGCAGCCTTTCTTCACCCACCACAGCTTTTCCCAGCAGGAGTTAAGAGCAGGGTGCTGGTCCCAAGCACCTGATGTGCTGCAGGGTTATCTAAGGGAAGAATATTATACGAGTGTAACAAAACCGCCTCATGAGCACCAGCACCGAGTGTCGGCGCTGCCCGTCGCGGTGTCGGAGCTCGCGGCGGCGAGGCCGGCGCCGCAGCGGGCTGGCTGCAGGGGAGCTGCTGCAGGCTGAGCCTGGCTTGGTGCTCAAATCCCACGGGATGAGGGGAACGTTTGGGTTAAAGAATTGTAACTAATTATCATAGATCGAGGACGGAGAGCTCAAACAGAGCATTTCTCTGTCTAGCCTCAAATCCTTGCTGAAATAACGAAATTCAATAATTCAAGTGCCTTTTAGTAAAATCTTGAAGCAGCAGCAACAAATGGTTTGAAAGCTGGTGTTTTTGATGAGGGATAGTTTCGCTTGCAATGCTCCTAATGAGATGCTACGAAGGGAATGGTGCAGTGTAACCGTGTGCGATGAGGTGCTTTGGAAAGCAGCCGGGATGCCGCTTTACCCGGAGCCGGAGGAGGCCGGAGCTCGGAGCGCGGCGGGCGCTGCTGCTCCCGGGCTGCTCGGGGCCTTCCCTGAGACGCAGCTCTCCTGGAGATGGGATTCCAGATTTATGCACAGAGAAATATTTAGCATTGCGCTGTGTTTTTGTTGCAGGCAGTATGGTCCCCTTATGGCACTGCAGTCTCGGCACTCCTTACATTCAAAAAAGCTGACTTAATTGCACACTAAACATAATTCTCTGGTAGGAGTCGTGGTACTGTAGTGATATGGGAGCGATTTGGCATATGGAGCATTTTGAAACTCCTTGCTACGTTGGTAAGCCTCAAGCTGGGGAGCAAGAGCTGCAAGAGCTGGCAAATTCCAGGGAATGCTGTCCGGTCCCCGGCTTCGCGTGCTGGAATGAGCAGCTCCTGGAATGCCCAAACTTTTCTGAATCGGAACTTGGAAATCAAATCCACCTCTCAAGTCGCCTCTTTTCAGAGGAGTTGTTGTTTATCGTCACTAATTGCTTGAATAAAAATGCTTCTCCTTTTGGCTTAGAAGTACGGAAATAATGTTTGTCTGGTTATGAGTCACTTCTGATATTTCTCCCTACAGATTGTGTAGATAAACCGAAGAGAGATTTAATGTACAAATTGCCTTAAGAGACATGTGTGTCCACTGGCATTCGCTTACACAACCTCGAGGGCTTGGGGATGTGATGTCGGATAGCACCACTTAACTTTGACATTGATAATCGCCTAGTGCTTTTTATTAAATCTTATCAGTACAGTAGGAACTGTCTTCATCCCTCTCTTCCTCTGTAAAGCTGTCATCAAGATAACTTGGAGGGGATAAAAATAAGTTGTTTATTTCCAGAATATAGCTACAAGCAATGACTTTAGCAGCTCTAGCAAGATGATCAATTTAAACACTAACAGCAATTCCTATGCATTTTCTTAACCAGTCATAGTGCATGGTGGTCATTTTAAGCGGAGATCTAGCGGTCCCGCTGTAATTGTTATAATCAAAATGTCAGGAGCAAACCCAAACGCAGCATCGCAAATTGCTGCTAGAGATAAATTTAGAGTCTGCGGCTGCTGCGTGAGCTGGAGCGGGCAGGGCCTCCCGTTCGGTTTTAATTCCCTCTTTTACCAGTTCAGTCTCCAGAAACGGAGTTGTTTCCTGTTCAGGCGCTTCCTTCGGCGCGTCACCGTTTAACTTGCTCTGGAGAGGAACGTTACCAGGGAGGGGAGACCCCGCTGGGGCGGCTCCGCGGCGGCCGCGTCCCGGCCGGGCGCCGCGGGGCTGCGCGTCGCAAACCCCGTCCCTGCGCCCGCTTCCGCACGGAGCCTGCAGCTCGCTTTGGAGCTCCCGTCATGGGAAGCGTGGCATAGGGAAAACCCTGGGATAAACCAGCCTGCATTCTGCCGGGATGCCCTTTGGGAACCGTGCGCTCAGCACTCAGCAATTCGGGTAACCGAGGCTCGACGTTTAATGTTCATTTAGGCCGCTTGGGCAAGGGCTTCCAGGGCAGATAATCTTCCCCATATGAAGATGCAACTTCCTTCCTGAGACTTAAGCCTAATATAAACACATCTTTTTAAAGAATCTCTACGAGCCCTAGGAGGACATTTCCCCCACCGAAAAGCCCTCCTTGCTACGCGCGTGTTCCGTTCATCTCCCAGGTCCCTATTTTTAGAGATGCAAATACTGGGTTTGTAAAGCAGAATCTAAAGAGGAAGCCAGCGGGTTGGATAGGAGAAGCTGCAGCAGCCCGAGACCTGCCTGGCTCCTCTTCCCTGCGCAGCAGCGTCGGAGGGGCCAAGGGCAGGGGGAGACGCGGGGCGGCTGCTGCTGCTTGGGGTGTTGCTGGTTTTCTTTTATAGGGCTGAAGTGATTCATTCATGGTCAAGATTCTTTGTATTTCAACTAGCCAATGTGCAGAAATAATCAATTTATTTTTTGCAGTGATGTGTTAAAAATGTTGTTATCACATGCTATCAAAGACAGAAGAGCTTTTAGTCTTTAAAGAGCTCGTCATGGCTATGACGGGTTCGCCCTATGGCATGAGTGTCCTATCTGTTAATTTAAGAAAGTAGATATTTTGGTTCTTTGTACTTGGTGTCCCACAGCTGAAACACTTTGGGCAGAATTAAGCCCAGTGGTGGGAAAACAGCTTTTCGTGGGCGAGGAGATGCAGGGAGGAGCAGGAGCGACGGGTTTGGGTTCGGAGCAGTGGTGGCATCTTGCAGAACTGCCGCGTGCTCGGTGCGGACTGGCCTTGCAGGCGCTCTCAGGGAGCAGCACATGCGTTTGCTCACTGTCAAAGAAGAAAATTTGCTCTTGCAAATCAGCAGTACTGAGGGCTATTAAATCCTGTACGTTTCTGAGATATTTTCTCTTTTTCCCTCCAGATGGCAGCTCTTCAGAGTCCTTTCTATGGAGATAAGATGAACCTGTTTTCTCTTTGCCAAAAAATAGAGCAATGTGACTACCCACCTCTTCCAGCTGAACATTATTCTGAAAAGGTAAACGGGGAGCGTTCGTGCAGGCTCCGGCAGAGCCTCCCCGCTCTGCAGGACGTCCCTTCCCCTTCCCTGCTCCGGGAAGGGCTGGGGTTGCCCTGGGCTCCCCTCGTGCCCCGTCAGCGGTGGGTTCTGATCCATGTTGAGGTACCGGCACAGAGGGCAGGGTGTTGATGGTGGAGAGCGTTGTGCTCGTTAAAGCTAATCCTAAATAGATGCAGATGATTGGGGAGGGCTCTAGGAAGGGTTCTGAGCTGGGCCGGGTCAAGGCCCCAGCCGGAGCCGTCCTCGCTGGCGGGGCCCGCGGGCCGGGCGCACGCGCTGCTGCATGGGGCGCTCTGCCTGCAGCTTGTACGGTCATGCTTTTAATTACCATTAAAATAATTGGCACCGTGGCTGCTGGGAGGATGTGAGAAGATCAGAGGCTCAAGGCTGTTTCTCCGCAGGCCTCGGGGAGCCGAGCAGCTTTTGGTGTCTGTATAATTAAAAGCTACAATCTTTCATGTGCACAATAAAGAGGGCTGGGAGGTGGGGAGGCTTCAGACCTTCCGCATTTTATTTATTAGAAATAATCAATGTCCAGTCTCTGCTTTGCGGAGCTCTGCTGGGAAACGCTGCTGCTTTGGCCAGCCGGGCTCTGGCACCTGGATCTGCAGGTGGTTCTACCGGGGCCGCGCTGAGCCGGCCGCGAGGACCCGGCGTTCCCGGAGCTGTGTCCGACTGACCCTTTCCTGTCTTTCAGCTGCGGGAGCTGGTCAGCATGTGCATATACCCCGATCCAGATCAAAGACCTGACATTGGTTACGTGCACCAAATAGCAAAACAAATGCATGTTTGGACCTCCAGCACTTGAACCATCTGCGCCCGCTCTCAAAGCCAGCACAGCTTAGTCTTACTTGAATTTTTTTTTCTCAGATGAAACCGACTGGTGCCTAGTCACACAAGCGGGAGGGTCGAGCACTCGTAGCAGGATGCTCCAATATTTCTGCAGGTTATTTAGCAAGGACTCTTACAAGGTGGTCATGCTTTAAAGTGACGATTCTGTGAGGTATTGCAAGTGATTTTTTTTTTTTTTAAGCCAATAACATGTTACAAATGTAGATCATTTAAGGGTCCTTTCTTAAAACTGTCGTGTGTAATCTAGGGTAGATTATATTAACAAGGGCGTCTTGGAGACCCCTTCTATCTTAACTGTAATGTGAAATATTGAAATAATTCCTTCAGTGAAATCACTTTATACTAATGTAAGAATTGCCATAGATTTTTGTGTAATTTGTATAACTGCTACTTTGCCTCTTCTGCAAATCGTTAATAGCAAATTCAATTTTTACTTCATATCATCTTTTAAAGCATCCATGTTTTTATTAATTCCCTCCTCTTCAGATGCAGGAACTGGGAAGGGTGTTGGGGTGAGGGAAATGTTTGTTTCAAGATTTCTTTTTTTTTTTTCTTTTTAAACTGAAAATTTAGAGTGAGTAATTTACTGATGCATTTATCTGTTAATTTGGCTACAGCCAATGAGTTAAGTGTATACCTGGAGGGAAAAACAAAGAAACAAGCATTGCTTCTGCAAGTAACTTCTCTTTAAACTTGTTTTCCCACTTGGTATGAATCTTTTTTTGTTTTTTTTTTTAGGCTAAAAGTTCTTATTAAAACAGTGTTACTCTAAGCCAGCTGTATTTTGGGGAAGATTTTATCAAATTCAGTGGTAGTTCGGGTACTGATAAAATACAAGCAAAGCAGTGTTTTAAACGTTCTGAAACATTTTAAAAAGAAATAGGTAAAATGCTTTGTGTATCTAATTCTGCGTAAGGATCGGCCCCTGTCCATTTAACTGTGAAACCTAATTTATAGAATGTGAATTTTTGTAACAGAGCAACCTGATTTGAAGGAGTCATCTTCTTTAGCGACACGAAAATTTTCAGCCAACAAATCCATTCATTGAATCAATGATTTGTTTCATTACTGTCGATGAGAAACGTTCACTGCTTTAGAACCACAGCCTGGATTCACGTTCAAGTGTTTCCGCTCCACGGGCCTGTTTGGAGCGGCGCTGCCCTGGCCGCTGCCCAAAAGCAGGTTTGTTGTGACAGTTAAGATGCAGCCTGTGCCTTTTTTTTTTTTTTCTCTTAAGAAAAACGTACAATCCTTAATTTTTTTGAAATAAGGTTAGGGTTAGCGGGTTAAATACATATATATGCTTTTAGTGAATTTTTTTTAATCTAATTTTTCTCTACTTAAAGGAAAACTGCCGTGCCATCTTCAACTACTTTTAATCAAATTTTGAAATATTTATGTAAGGTAGCAAAGGTAAGGCTGTTAATTGCTGTGAATAACGTTGGTATCAGTAGTGCGAGGTGCCATGGGGGTGAGCGTTCCCAGCAGCACGTTGAGCCGGCCGCGCTCTCCGCGGAGAGCCAGGAAATCCAGCTCGGCGCGAGGAGGTCGGAGAGGCACCAGGCTGCTTCCCCGTTCCCATGCGCACGGTTCATGTACGGTGGGTTCTTCAGCGCTCCGTAGCGCCGAGACCAAAGGGTGTCGTTCTGCCGCCGCCGCTTTCCCTTGCGCCCTGGTGGCAGCTGCACATTCCTCGGGATGGCTGTGCCGCTCTCCGGCGGGAACGCGCACGGGCTCTCGGGCTGGCGGGGAAGCTCCACGTACTTGACTATCTGGAGAAGTCTGGTCACTTTCTTGCTACATGGAATTTATTCGTGCTTATAAGTAAATGTATTTCAGAAGGTAATTTTTTTTTTTGCAATTGTGCATTTTTAGATAAATAAAACAATGATTTACAAAATAAACACCTTTGTTAAGAAAAAAAGTATGAGTCTACCTATTAAGGAAAAATATTGTTAAAAATGGTCGCTGAAAAGAGTTTAAATGTCAATGTGAAACTTTCTAACAGCTCTTAGGAGATGTTAATGCTTCACGGCAGGCTCTGCTGCCAGGAGTGGACTCTAGCGACTGTCAGTTATCCCGAGGGAAACCTGTGCATGGAACTTCAGCCTCCAGCCGTGTGGCCCAGCTAAAGACACGGAAACTGGTAGCAAATGTGAGGCAAGGAGCAGGCCAAGCGCGCTTCGCCCTGTGCTGTCTGCAGGCAGGTGATTTAGACATGAAAATGTCGCGTAGCTGGTGGGGGCTGGACCTGCGCAGCTTCGTGTCACTGGAGAAAATGGGGAAGAATGAATGTAAACATCTGATGATAGCACTAGAATTTCTCTGCAGTAACATTACAGTCTATTTAGGTCAGTAATAGTGCTCAGGATTTTCATAGCAAGCTTTTTCATCATACATAAAAAAAACAACATCCTGCTAAATTAAAAACAGACAGGAACTGGGCTTAAGTAGACAATCTTTGCCCTTACTACTTTTTTTTTCCCCTGGGCTGAGGTTACAAGAGCAGCCCCAGTAGTTACTGGGTCAGTTTGAAGCCCTGTGTTGGCAATAGGACATAACCGATGCCCCAAGAGCCCAACTCTCCATATATGATAATATGGATCTTTCTTTTAGGGTAAAATAGTTCTGCATAAGCCTCACTTTTTCAGCAGAGAGAATGGAAAAGAAAGTAGTATTGTCAGAAACATTCCTTAGGAGACAGGTAAGAATTCTTTATTTTTCTATGAGTTTCATATTTTTCTTCACAGAGGAAGGCTTCTAAAACTGAAGTGTGGCTAATGCTGGGCTCTAGTAACATAAGCAAAGCACAGAACAGTTCAGGAAGTGTCCATGGTTTGTACAGTTTCATCCACCACCTCCATTTCCAGGAGTGCCACGTTTTCAGTGAGAACAGCAGTAGTTCCTTTTTCACACTTGTATCTGCCGAACCTGTTAGAGAAAAAAAGTGCAAGTTAATTTGGAAGGTGATACTAGGAAAACTCGGATTTAAAATTTTGGATTTAAGCATTTTCTCTGGTGTGGGAGTTTATTACGTAAGGTCAAAGTGAGTAAAGAAACTGTGCTTAGTATAACATGTTGTCTTAAGAAAAAATAATCAAGTGCCATGACAAGCAACGTTATAGAAATGTGAGATTTCACCGTGGCGTACAACGATTCTTGTTGTGTAGCCGTGCTCAGAAACACACTCGTTTTTGCAGCTCCAGAGCAATTTTTATCACAGAATTTTATGATAAACCCAGAGCTACCCTTTAAGCCAAGATGTGTGCAGTCCAGCCCTGCTTCTGAACGCGCCCGTAAAAAGGAGCCGTTCTGCTGTGCTTGTGCACCAGGAAGTGCCTGGTCTCCTTGGGGCTGGATAGGGGACGTTCTCCCCTGCCTGCCCCCTGCTCCCAACGTGTTTCTGCATGTGTAGTTGCCTGGACCAAGTGCAAGGGGCCTTTAACTGGCACAGGGCTGTTCCTAGTGGCTTTGGCAACAGTGTCTGCCTTAAAAAAGAAGGGCAGGAAAAAGTGATTTCTTCCAACTCTACTATTTTGGCAGCAGACTGAAAAGTTGCACAAGTTGTTACACATAACATAAAAGTACATATTGCAAAAGCCTGTAACTGCCCTGGGGGCTGTGAATCACGGATTAGGCAATGCAGGTCACCAAACAACATGTCTGAGTGTCAGAAGGAAAATGTGTCAGCTCCCCTAACCCTAAAATCTTGCTCACTTTAGAATTTCATCATCTGTGTCCTGAATATGCTCAGTATTAAAAGATCGTATTATGCATACTTAAATGTAACCTTGTTCCCAATAAATTTTGTAGTTGAATATTTGTGACACTAAATTTAGGAGATTCAAAATGGCTGTTTTTAGGGGTAGCATAATAGCAATGATCAAAAGGTGATAACCTTTGTGAAGCATCTCCAAGTGCTACAAACTGCTGAAGTTGAACGTGCTGTGCAGCCCCTCCGTGTGCTTTGAGGAATGAACAGAGAGCCATAAAATGGAGGAGATTGCACAGAAATCTCCTTCTGATGGGGCTTGCCAAAGGAAAGAGCTGGAAAAGGCACAGCACAAGTTTCTGCAGAGCAGAAGTAGCAGGACGGGGCTGCCCCCTGGAACAGCACGAACGCTCACAACTCGCAAAAGTTTTTGTTCCTTTGTACGCAAAGTGGGAAGCAACTTTAATCTGACTAAAAATCTTGCTACTGCCAAATTTAGCTCTTAACTATAAACTAACTTTTCAAAAAGTTACAGCAAAGAGCTGGAGGTTTCGCATGAGAAAACAGCGATGATCAAAAGCCTGCAGTTTCTGGCAGTCGTGGGAAGGGTGAATTTTCCAGGCACGGGCTGGAGCCCTGGCAGGGAGCGAAGGCAGCGGAGCTGCAGGCCGCGTGCTGGGGCTGTGCTGCTGGCCCTGTCCCCACAGCGGGTTCCTACATCGTGGCTGGTGACAGGCTGTGCTGCCAGCTGCTCCCCGTCCACGCTGCCCTGCGGAATTCAGGGACACGGCCAGGCCTGGGGACCACGCGGATGTCAGCGAGAGTCGCAAAGCAGGAAAAGGGCCCCGTTCAGTCACAGGTGTGAAACTGCATGAGACATCCCGACCGTCCAGGCCGTCTCCCTGCTCAGTGCAGAGGGGGCAGGTAGGTGATTTAGTTCTTCCCAATGTTTGTAAATTCCACCAACAACTTCAGTGTTTGACTGCAAGCCATTGGTTGAAATGCTAATATAGTAAACACAGATCTAAAGACAATCCTCTGATAGCTATCAACTACATAAAGCAGTTTTGATAATGTCTGTCTTAAAGCTTTTAAAAATAAACTGAAAAAATCATTATATCATGGAAGACAGGAACTATTTAGCAAAAGCACAGATGATGCACAGCTTCAGAAATACCAACCTTTCCCCTTTTTTGTTGGCCACATCGTATGGACGGAGGAAATCCAACTTGTTCTTGCTTATCACACAGAGATCGATGTTGCTGCCAGAGCCCAGATCATTGTATATGCCAGCTGCAATGGCATTCCTCACAAGCTGTTTGGCTTCATATCAGCTCCTGTTCCAGCCCCGCGGCCCCGCGGAGCAGGAGCGTCGGCGCCCGGAGCAGGGCCGGGGCCGGGGGCAGCTCTTCAACCCGAGTGCCCCTCCGCCCCGAACCCTGCTAGATTGCCAGGAACAAGATGGAAACTTCTGTCCTAATGAATGCAGGGGAAAAGAAACCAACGTGATGCTATTCCCTCCCAGGCTTTCGTGCACGTGTACAGTGCCAGTTCCCTGTAGGGCCCTCTCTAACACTTGTATTCAAATTAAATATCCACACTAGGTCCGTAGCAGCTCCGTTACAACCCTTCCCTAGGCAGTGCCTATTTAATCAGCCTCCGCAGTCCCACAATGAGGTGTGTGATTTTGTAACAGCGCCAGCGTGGTTTGTAACCTTCAGTCCTTAAAAAGGGCAAATATGAAGCTACTGCCATGCATGCTGCATAGAACTTGCTTTTTAATTTTTTTTTTCTTTAGGTATTTAGAAACTGGCTAAACAGCCTTCTAAAACAGAGCACAATAGTCTCTGCTGAACATGAACACTTGCATAATTACCACTCAGGCAAGCGTCTTCTACAACAAAGTATTTCAAAATCATCCAAACTCGCCATCAAAATGATACCCTGTCACAGACCCGTAACCATCATCAGTCCACACGTGTCTCTATGTGTTTTTAATCCCCACAGAAGCTCCCTGCTGCGCTGGCTCCCTCTACAGCTCCCGCGGACGGGTCACGTTCACCTCGGTGCAACGTCAGGTTGCAGCGATCAAAGATCAGAGCTGCAGATACCACAGATAACCCGGAGGGCCAGGAAATCCTTAGTTAGGCTGTAAGTGAAGATACCATTCGGTATAAAGCAATACTGTGAAGCAGCCTTGGTAATGGTGCAGAGGGGCTAGCTGGGCTCTGGTGCGCGTCCCGCGAGGGCGGCTGCAGCTGCGTGTCCACGCGGCCTCCCGGCAGGCGGCAGAGCCCTCCGATGCGGCCCGCGGCTCCCCGGCGCGCTGGGGACACTCAGCTAACAACGCGGGTGCCGGTCCAGGCGCACGGAGCCATCCGCACGCACGGGTCGATCCTCGGGCTGCTGCACCGGGGCTCCCTCCGGCCCGCGCGCCGGCTGCGCCGCTGGGCTGGTTTTCCAGGACTAGCATGAGGAAACCAGGGAGTGTCCCACAGGGAATGCGACAGTGCAGCCTCCTGCTGCGCTCACAGCCCTGGCGCCCCGGACACCCCGCGGCCCCTCGTGCCCCGCTAATGAAGGGCTGCTAATAACCATCTTTAAACAGCTTAATTTGGGTTCTGTTTTTGAGCGAGCTGCTTATTTCTTTCCCATTTTCATTTGGGTTAATCTTTAAAAAAAAGAAGAAATATTAATTACATTTTCTACCAACCTGACTTGAACCAAACAGTCACACTGCAAATAGTAATAATTTCTGTTTGTTATATCAATTTTCGGTAGCAGCACTCTCAAAAGGAAGTATTTCCTTATTCAGCAGCTAGAAGGCTGATTTCTCTATGTGGATTCACTGCATGCTAAGGTTATTTTATTTAGCACTCGCTCTTTCTCTAAATATATTTAAAATCTCAACCACAGCAAAAGTAAGCATATTAAAGCAAATGAAAAACTATATCTAGATATGTTTTAAAATTAAGTCGTAGCAGCAATAGGGTTAAGCTACCACTGGTGCTGTTATTTTAAGAAAAGCGTTACTACCCCGGCAGTCAGATGTGTGGTTTTCCTTTCTTTCCTTTTAGTTTTTCCAAATTTTAAAAACAAGTTTTGCATAATCATCTTTTAAGTTAAACACTTCAGCATGTATTGACTTGTAGAAGACACCCTTTCTATTAATCTATTTGTAACAAAATATTTTTTACGTAGACACTACAGTCAACAGAGATCAGTAATAGTGACACTGAGGCACTGACTACACTGAGGAAGGTCTGAAACAATCTCAGCTCTTTCATCTGATATAGTGCAGCCTAGTTCACAAGCCTGGAATAATTCTAATTATAGGGGACCCTGATACAGTGCTGTGTTCGTTTCCTATTCCCTTTTCATAATTTAGAAAGATGACCAGAAAGACCATGAGAGAAACAGGCCCTTCCTAGAGATCCTGCATACAAAGTTCTAGCAAGAACTGCTGTTTTATGACCAGAAAATAGGGGGTTATAATGAAAGTGCTGACACAGTCTTAACTACAGGGGCATGAATGAGTGACTGTAATAATTAATCTTAAAGAAAAAAAAAAACCCAAACCCTAAAAGTTCAGAGTACATAAAAGGAGCACTTCCTACTTTATGGTTGCAAAGACCAAGCTAACTGGGAATATCATTCTCTCGGGTCCACACTGCTTCTTAAATGAGATTACAGCAAGAGTGATGTACTGTAATACAAGTCAGTTGTGACAAGCAGCACTTTATAGAGCTATCTGTTTGTCTCCATCACTGCATCACACAATGTGTCCCAGGACTCCAATGTGCAACTCCATTTACCACTACATGACAAATGGGCAGCACTTGTAAAAGGCACAAAGAGGTCCAGACCAGCCATGTAATGGTCACCACAGATGTACCACGGCGCTTGAGGGGGAAAAACAGACCCCAAGTTCATTAAAGTGACCAGAAATGGATCTTTCAAAATGTGTCTTAGGAATAGTACAGTAAAGGCTAAAATAAATAACTCGGCATGGAAGGCTAATCTGAAATAGTGTTTGATAAATTATTTATAACACAGACAATTGTCTGCATTTAATATTGGAGCTACTGGTAGCGTCTTTAAAAGATGATTTATGTGTTGTAATGCCATTAAGCTTTATATGGGCCCACTGCTAGCTATAAAGTCTGCTGAGATTTAGAGAATGAGTTTTAAACTGTCACTGCAACATCATAGTAGATAGAGACTGTATTAAATCTTTACTTTAAACCTGTTATCTGGAGAGTTGCATTTTGTAGACACTCAAGATCTGATAGATTACCTCTCTACATCTGCTATGGTGCGAGTCACAAACAGCCCCAATAAGGAACTTTTCCACATTATTCTTGTATATGGCTTGAATCCAGTTTCTCTTCTCACTTAAGCAATTTCCAGATTTCAAGGGATACTGAAGTAAAAAGATGAGACTTCTAGGGAGTGCATGGCTCCTTCTACCTCGTAATAATACTCTCTTTGTTAATAGCTATAAATGTATCATTACTCCCGGAGAAGTATAAACAGAGGCTGCAACAATGTTGTGAGTATTATTTCCTGGACATTCAGGTAATCTCGCAAGCTTAAACCGGAGATGTTTTTCTGTTTTAATGCCTATTGAAGTACAGTTAATGCCTTCTGTCATTATTGCCCGTATCCAGTCTGATAACTTAGATGTAGTTGAATGCTTTAGTGAGTCTTACCAAGGATGTGAAAGGTTAGTTTCTGCAGATAGCTGGGACTAAACGGCTTATGTGACCCTAGAATGGGGTGTCTCTCATGTGGGAATATCCCTGCAAAGCCGTTCAAACTGAACTGGAGACTCTTCCCCTCCCGGTTCACCCAAGTGAATTACAGCCATGCAGGGATGCGTGCCCCATGACAGGGGTGAAGACGGGGTCTCCCCCGTTCTGCTGAATTTCAGCCGTATGTTATTCTAGAACTGGTTATGTTCTTAAAAAAACAAAACAAAAATACTTAAATCCAAAGCAAAATATGCATATGCCTTCAAATAGCATATTCGTGTTTACTGTTACTGAACAGATGCTACAAACTAAGATAAGCAGAAGTATAGTAATTTCTAAAGCAAATGTGAGAGGGAAAATAACTACTCTAATACTGTGTGTGTAAAGCAGCTCAAGTTATTTTAAATCCAGGTAAAGTGTATCGTGTTGTTTTCCAGCTCTCCCACAGCCTTATTTAACAAGGAAGGGAGATGCCCCAAATTCACTTCATTCCCTTGCAGGAAGGCAAGCGAATGGCTCAGTATTTGCACAACAAACAGTGTCAGGAACTCAAAACCTATTCAATACGACCAGAATTTTCTCTCCAGAATACGTCCTGTTCGAATGCTACGAACCATCCCTTCTGCTGTAAGGTAATTTCACTTATGTTTGTCTAGCTTTTAAAGTAGGACTCTTATTACAAAAAAAAATAAAGGCAATTCAAGATTTTCCATAAATATATCTACATTATTTCATTAATACATGAATATATCAAAAAGCAGTACTGTAAAAAACAGCTCTTGGAGTTTTTACGCAAATGTATTCATATTCCTTCATCAACAGATCAAATACGTTTATACTGCGTTTTATATAAGTTTTGCTGTGGATAATATATAAGTAAATATATATTTTTCTACTGCTTTCTCCTAAGAAGTTTCCAATAAAATACACCTCCCTCTGCCCCTAATTACTGTTCTCAGGGATAGCAGTATCCTCATGCTCCATTGGTGCACATGCCTGCGAGCCCAGCCTCAGCACCACCTCCCCCTTTCTGAGATCGTGCACCACACAAGTATAATAAACCACGTTAATATTTCATACCAGTGTGAAATATGCTGGAGTATCAATTCAACATCTGCTGTCTTTAGGGTACTGGCGTCCCGCAGAGACACTTTCAATTTGTAATTGAGTTCTATTCTGAATTAATCAGCAGTTTATCTTTTTTAGTAAAATAATGTCTTCTCCACTAACCTGGATTTACATTAACAATTTATGCCAAATTACCTGCCAAGGCAAGAAACTTATATGATTCGGAGCTGCTATTCAATAATATTAGTCCCTATATTTTATGCCTTACGTGAAGACTAGTACAATACATAGTTCCTGAGGTATGGAATTAAATAACGATCTCCCCTCACAGGGGCAGGATTTTTTTAACACTATTTCCATACTTGGAATTAATATAAAAATGCAAATAATTCATCACTACTTGTGTCTGGATAAAGTTCATGGATTTTAGGAAACTGATTCTCAGAATAAAATGAACATGCTCAACAATAAAAGAAACATAAATTCTACATTGCCAGTGTG